TGAGGCGGGGGCACGTCTGCTGATTGGCTCCAGCAGGTATCACCAGAAGGCAACACTGCCCCAGTGCTGCTGCACGTTGTACAGGGCCTGGGGGTGTGCAGGGGGTTGGGGTTGGGTTGAGTTAGGGGTAGGGTTGGAAGTGGGGTAGGGGTGTGGTTGCGGTAGGAATAGGGTTGGAGTTAGGATTGGGATAGGGTTGAGATAGGAGTAGGGTTGGGATTGGGGTACAGTTGGAGTAAGGTTGGGATTGGGGTACGGTTGGAGCAGGGTAGGGTGGGGTTGGAGTTGAGGTTGTGTTAGGGGCCGGGCAAGGGGTGGGTTTGCGGTTCCCAGCAGCAGACGAGGAGAGCTGCAGCTGCTGCGCTGGCAACAGAGTGCAGGGGTCTGGCCCAGGGCACCCCAACACCTTGGACAGTCTCCATAGCTGGGGATGAAGCATCTTGGCTGTGCCCACCCCGCAGGCCTGTACCAGAGCCGGGCACTGCAATGCGGTGCTCCCCCCCCCCCAGTCAAGCACACACGTCCTGCCACAGTTGGCACCTGCACAGCTTGCCCCAGGCCATCCACAGGCCACAGCTTGGGAACTACTGGCCCTGGGGCAAATCCCTCTGGGCATTTTGAAGGAAATGAGGCTGGGGTTGGTCCCAGATGGACTCCCCTGTGTTTTGCTCGGCGCCGTCCCAGCATCCCTGGCAGTCAGCAGAACAGCAGTTATGGCGTTTACAGGAGGGGGCAGAGGCGGGCGCAAGTATAAGGGCATGGACACCGAGCAGGCACCGGTCCTCGCCATTTGGAAACGGGAGAGAAGAAGACAGGGAGTCACAAGGTTTCAGCCTCCCCGCCCAGTTCATGCCCCAGCTGGGGCAGCAGGAGAAACCGAGGCCTGGTCAGGGGCTCATGTCTCCCCGCTGGCCCCCGTGGTTTGCAGGCGGGAGCGAGGGGAGGACGTGGGATGAGCACTGGGCTGCAGCAGGAAGTCACATGCCCCGCGGCTCCCCGATGCGGATGAATCAAGGCTTTGAGACGCGATTCCCCCCACCCCCCGCCCCTTCCAGCAGCAGGAGGGGGCAGGCAGGACTGAGACCCTGCACCCCCCTCTCCAGGCTGGCCGTGTCCTCCCTCTGCCCCCCACCCCCCTGTGCCTGGTCCATGCCCTGCAATTGGGACAGGACACCTGGGTTTTCCTCCCAGCTTGGGAGGGAGGAAGAGGAGGGGGAGCCGGACTCCTGGGTCCCCCCTCGACTGCCTCCTGGCCTTCCTCCCCGAGGTCCACTGCCCTGCACGCTAGGACAGAGAAGGCCTCTGTGTCCTCCCAGCTGAAGCCCTGGTGAATTGTGATGATGACCCTGTGAGCAAGTAGGGATGGTCCCCAAAAAACACATCCTTCAGTGCTTTGAGCTCCCGGCATACCACCAGCGTCCCCCGGGGCTGGGCGAGAGGAGCCTCCTGGGACGGGCTGTCCAGCCGCCCAGCGCAGAGTCTCTGGAGCTCAGCGAGCTGCAAATCCCAGACGGGGAGCATTAATCAACCAAGGGCAGATGACTGCAGCCCTGAGCCAGCTGTGCCTGACACAGAAAGCGCTGGCTGATTGCGCAGGGGAGGGAGGAGATGCACACATGGCCCCTGGGCTGGGCCGGCCCAGGCTGGTCCTCTCCCCGCAGCAGCACTGCCTCATGGCAGGGAGCAGAAGGACACTGGGGTCCTCTTGTGGAAGGTTTTCCTTGCTGGGGTTGGGCTAGAAAAGCAGCCCCAACCTGCACCTCGAGCAGCCTGGGGATGGGCAGGCACACCAGTGGGGTGAATGGAGGGCAGGAAGGTGATGGGAAGCCCCCAAGCCCCTCTCTGGGATGCATCTCTGGCCCCAGGCTCCTAGCCGGGGGTTTGCAGGAGCCATCCAAGGGGACACGGCTATGCCACACTTTGCTGGCCTTGACCTGGAGGCTGGGTCAAGATCCCACAGGAGACCAGTGCCTCCCAGCTTGTCTAGGAGAAGAGGCCTCCATCCCCAGTGCAGACCAGCTTGGCACGGGGGAGGCTCCATCCTGCTCCCATCCCCAAGGCACAGAGGAGTGCAGCCTGGCGCAGGCCTTGTCTCTGTGGCGTGCAGGGTGAGCCCCCGGCTGCCCAACAGGACTCGCTAATTGACTGGGTCCGCTCCGGCATCTGGCCACCGGCAGCTCCAGCTCACGTGGAGCCAGGCCCCAGCTGCTCACGGACCCTTCCTGCCTCAGCCCTCTTATCCGTCAGCCACTCCAAGACGGGCACCGTCGTCTCCCCTCCCTTCTGCCACGCTGCATCTACCTCCCCGTGCCGCTCGGCTGTGCCATCTGCACCGGTCCCCCAGGAGGGAGCTCTCCGTGCCGTGCAGTCGCTGGGAAACCTACTGGAAAATTGAGTCTTTAATTGCATCTGGCACATCCCCGGCTCCCCGATGGCAACAGCCACCGGGCTCCGAAGTGACATCACGGTAAGTGGCAGGATGCAGCTCGGGCACGTACGGTCTGCTGAGCCCCTGCTCCCGGCAGACCTGCCTCTGTGAGCCCAACCCCACACCCAGATGCACCTCACGCAAACCCAGGCTGGCTCTGCAGGACTCCCCACCGGCTCCTAGACAGGCCCCCAGTGACTACTCCACCCCCCTGCCATGGCGCACACATAGGGGGCTTTCTCTTCCCCACCCCCTCATTGAAATGCAGCCGCTTCTGGGGTGGAACTGGGCAGTTAATTAACAGCTCTGGGAAAGTGAAACCACAGCAGGGGATTTTCCGCTGAAGGCTGTTATCTAATTTGGAGGTTACCCAAGGTCACGCAGAGCTGGGTTAACCCTCCAGAGCTAGCTAGGTAGCTGCACTATCCACACCATACACGCAGTTACTCGGGCATAAGCCAAGAGAGGCTTCAGGTAGCTCCAGTGAGTTATTCCCCCATAGTCCTATTAGGGGAGTCAAGCGTTGGAGCAGTTCCCTAGAGAGGTGGTGGAGACTCCAGCCCTGGAAACGTTCAAGTGCTGGCTGGACAGATGCTTGGCTGGGCTGGTGTAATAAGGGATGATCCTGGCTTGAGCAGGGAGCTGGACTCAACGACCTTGGGAGGGCCCTTCCAGCCTGACTTGCCCGTGGCCCTATAAATACCTCTTCCCTGCGCTGGGAATAGACCTCCAGAGTCCTTGTCACCACCGGGAGTATTCCCCAGACAACATGACAGCAAATGGGAAAGGATGAGTTAATGAAAGTCCTGATGATGAGCAAGGCGGGCACCTGCTCGGCACCCCAAGGCAGACCCCCGTGCCCTGCAGTGCCACTGGCATGGGCTTGCCTGCAGCCGGGCCTGCGGGCACAGTGCCCCTCTGGCACAGGAGGAGGCTCGTCCCATGCCAGGATGGGCGCCAGGAGCAGGGAAGGGGAAGGGGAGGCAAGAGCGAGGCGGGCAGGAAAGGGAAGGAACTGCACCTATTCCTGGAAGAGAAGGTGAACAGGGGACAGAGCAGCTGTTTCCACTCTCCAGGCTGCAGCTGCTACCCAGGCAGCAAGGAGCAAAGGGACACAGCAGGCACTGCCAGCAGGGAGGTGCGGGCCAGGCACAACTGTCCTCTTCCTGGTGCCAGCTCAAACTTCTGCTTCCAGGCAGGAGCACAGCACCAGCGACTGCCCTGCCGAGAGGACACGCGGCCACAGGCCGGTAGGAACCAGCCTGGACCCAGTGCCGTCAGCAAGGCCGCACCAGCGTGCGCCCGCTCAGGAGCCCACCGGACCATGGTCCGAGCCTCCAGCCGCTGCGCTCTGTCCTGGCTTTGTGTCAGGCGGAGGGGAAGGCACTGCCCACACAGAGAGAGCCAGGCTGGGAGGCGGATTTGTTCTTAATTCAGTTTGGCCCCATCTGCACTGGCCAAATGGCGCTCTAATCAGCTTTGGCTGCCACGGCGTCGAAACCCGGTTTCAGCCGTGTCGCTAAGCGCCAGCCAGCTGCCTGGGAAATAGGATTGGCCCGAGCGGGGATAAGACATCAGACTCGCACCTGGCTAGGAGGAAAAGTGGCTCCCACCCACCAGCCCAGGGGGGCTTTTCACCCCCAGGAGCCCCCAAGCCTGAATTTGGGCACTAGATTTGGACAGTGCCTGCCCCCTGGGCATCTCCCCTGCCTGCCACTTATTTTTCCGTGTGGCAGGCAACGACTGGTTTCATCAGAAAGCCACGTTCAAGAGAGCAGACATGCAGGGCTGAAAGCTGCAGCCCAGCTAGGGTACGTGCTGAAGATCAGGGTCTCCGGGATGGTCCCTGGAGCAGAGCAAGGGCTCGCGGACCGTGCTAGGTGGGGGAGTTTCTAGGTCTAGACCCTGGCTGAACGCAGTCCTCGGTGCAACCTGTAAAGGCGCCTCTGTGATTTCAGAGCGAGGCTCTGGGGCGAATCCCACCCTTGTTTCTGTGCGGGAACCGGGAAGATGGATCAACTCAGGGGTTGACTTCCCCACCTACCTGCCTGGCGAGGTGCAGACAGCCAGGCTTGTGCAGCAGCACTGGCCCCTGGGAGGAACACCTCCCCCACTATCTCCTTGATTGATCCCTCTCCATTATTCATAGACATTATCCAATTAAGAAATTAATTCCACCCCACCCAGGAAAGCATCAGGCCTCTTGCATAATACATGTGGTCCTTCCAGCCACCGCTCTGCTTGGTACTCTGTAGCTCCAAACTTCCCGTGAATTAAACCCCCAAGGAAATGAATAATAATCCCTGGACAAAAGACTGTGCATTCGGTGCAGTTAAGGTTGAGAGAATCAGCAATTTAAGGATCCAGCTGCGTCGGAGGGGGGTGGGACTGTCATCATCCTAGTGCCAAACAGCATCAACCCAGGGGATTCAGACTTAAAGTTACACCTGGAAGAAAAGAAGCATGTTAAGGGATGAAAATACAGTTTGGGCATTTCCCGTCTGGTTAGAGTCAAAGCGCTTGGGTGCCTGGGGCCCAGGCAAGATTAAACTCATTTTTAAGGACATGTTATTTTGGCCTTCTCTCTATTTTCTCCCCCCTGCTATTCTGCAAGGGCAGAGGTAAGGGCCTCTATGCTGAATGGGGGAAAAGATAATTGTGTGGGTGCAGCTCAACAGCTGGGAGAAGCTGCTGTAAATCATTTTCTCACTAGGAGGGTGGTGAAGCACTGGAACAGGCACCCCAGAGAGGTGGTGGACTCTCCATCCTTGGAGGTTTTTAAGACCCTTGGCTGGGACGATGTAGCCAGGGCTGGTCCTGCTTTGGACTAGATGCGACCTCCCGAGGTCCCTTCAACCCTCATTGTCTATGAGAGCAAGAAATCCTGCTTTATCTCCAAGCTTCCTCCCCGCAGCGACATCTCAGTCCATCTCCGTGTTTCTAAAGGCCTCTTTTCACTGCCAAGCCAGCAGGGCCCTCTCCCAGCCCGGTTCACGCGGGTGCTGAGCCCCTGCGGCTCTGGGCTGTCCGGTCACTCTGCACCTCTGTTGCTTTCTGGCATGTGAAGGACCCCTCATTGCAGACGCCAGGACCACCTGGCTCTGGTGGAGGAGCACCCACGTAGGCTCAGAGCCGGCTGCTCTCCCCCTTTGCCCGCGGGGACGGTGATGATGATGACTACACAGAGACCTGAGGCCCTGCAATCAAAGCAACGTTTTTCTCAGCAATACTTTTGCTCTAAATAACTTCCCAACAGCAGCCTAAGAGACTGGCTGCAGCTCTTGCCCTCCCTGCAGCTGTCTGTGCCCTGGAGTTGGGAAGGACCAAGAACAGGTTCCCTTCCTAAAGCTGCCTCTGGGGCAGCCCATCTCCCCTGACACCCCGACAAGCAGCCTCTTCCCCTCCTCCTTGGGGCTCTCCATGTCTCCCATCACCCGACTGCCAGCTCACAGCTTGGCTGAGGCAGGGTGTCCAGAGGTCACCTGTCTGGTGCATGAGAACAGCTATATCTGCATGGCAGCCCCCTCCCAGCCTGGGCTAGCTGTGTCCCTGCAGCTGAACTGGTTTGGTGGGGGGGAAGTTAATTGGCACGGTCAATCAGCCAGTGCTAATTAGCCAAATGAAGCCCTGTGCAGACAGCTGCAGCACAGGAGCAGGGCAGTGTTTGAAGAGGCGCTGGCCAGCCTAGTGACTGTACCATGTTGTGCCCATCTTCACCTGCCGTGCTGCTTTTTTCCTGCTAATAACTGCCCCCCCCCCCCCCCAGATGCAGAGTCACTCTCCTCCCTGTCCAGGCCCAGGCGACGGTCATACCTGGAGCAGCAGACAGGGATCAGGAAATGCCCCCTGCTCAGCCATCCCGCAGGAGGCCTCTTGTCAACCTTGAAGCCAGGCTCCAAAAATGCAGCTGGCAGGTGAATGAGGAGTGTGCCAGGATGTTGCAGGATGCCCAGCTCAGAGCTCGCTGAGATTTCAGGAGTCCCGTGGACAACACCTGGAACCCAGCCCCGTCCTGCTCCACATGCCCTTGGCCCTGCTGGGTGCTGCCTCTGACCGGCCAAGGGCACCAGGTGGCATTGACCGTGGGGCAACATGCCGAGAGGGCCTCTGGCCTGCCCCCCACTGCCTCATGCACTGGCAGGTGTTCCTGCCATGCCCAAAAGCCCTTTCCCATCCATGCTTCAAGCCCTTCTTTGCTTCTGGTGATGCTGGATCCTCCAGGGCTGAGCCCAGGGTGCAAAAAGCCGGGTGGAGGCGACAGGGGAGACCTGGGAGCGAAGAGGGTGTGGGCCCATGAGCCTGTGTGCATGGGTGTGTAAGGAGACCCTGCTCCAGTGTAGCTGCTCCAGCCCCACACCCAGCCTCTGGGGGTGGCAGAGGTTGTGCAGACTCCTGCCCCTGCCACCCTTGCTGGTCTGCAGCAGCCAGGCTGGTCGGGGCACTCATGCCCCCTGCTGGCTATGCAGCTGCATGCACATGCCGCACACAGAGACGTGTCCCCCCCCGCACAGCATCCCTCTGGCTTTGCAAAGTGCAAAGGGGCTCCAGCTTCAGAGGCCAGGGGCGGGCTTGGACTGACAGTGCTGCCCTGGCCCAGGACGCCTGGCAGCACGAGGGTCCAAGTGTGCACATGTGTGTGCAGATGTGTGCACGTCTCTGCATGTGTGCATGAGAGGGGGACAATTCAAGCCTTCCCCACTGGAACGGGAGAGCTGGATGCTGCACCGGGGAGCTGGGCACCTCTCATGCACCCAGCATAGGGCTGTCACTGCCCTTCCCCAGGTCTGGTCTGCAGGGAATAGCCTGGATTCACCCTTCCTAGGACACAGGGCTCAGTCCCTTGCGCCTGGTGGGTGGCTTGACCACAATGGGTGGTGGGTTCTCCCTGAGCACTGCCACAAGCTGCCCAGCACCTTTGAGGCAACTCTTTGCCCCACGAAGCCTTGGGCCTTTTAGCCCCAGCCCCCTGGCACCAGCTTTGTCCAGGGCCCTGGTGCAGGCAGGCGGGGGCTCTGCGGTGGGTTGCTGGGGCTGGGGAAGTGGGTACTGGTTGCAGATGGGGCCCTTCCAGCACCCCCAGCCCCCAACTGGGAGCCCACATGTGGCCACTGCACCTGGTGACCTTCCCAGGGCGTCCTTGGTGCAGAGCGTGCCAGCCCCTGCCGCTCGCGCTCCCCCTCCTACCCCAGCCCCCCTATCTCCCACGTGCCCAGAGCTGCCAGCTCCCAAACGCGCAGGGAGCAGATGGTTTCCACGGCAACAGGCAGAATGACGCATTTCCAGTATTCCCAACCCCCTCCCCAAGGGGAACCTGCCGCGGCTGACGGGAGAGGGGGAGGGCAGTGGTGACTGGCACCTGCCCTGCACCTGGGCACACCGCGCCGCCAGGGAGCGAGGGGCACGGCTATGAGGGCACACCCACATGCGTGTGCTCGAGCGCCGGGGCGCCCAGCATCTCCCCTCTCTGGCACGGGTGCAAGGAAGGGCTGGGACAGGCCTGTCTGCACAGGGCCGTTAGCTGGGGAGAGGCTCTGGGGGCCCCGTGTCTTTCACCGCACCCCAGGGGCTGCGGTGCTGCATGTCCCTGGCCCCAGGGGTGTCAGGGGTGGCCCCCTCCCCCCTGCTCAGCATCCAGGCAGCCTCTGCACCCCCCGGGCTCGCCCCGAGGGTTGTGTCCCTCACCCAGACACCGCCCTCAGGGGACCCCCGTGTCCCAGCCCATGCGCTGTGGGGTTCACCACAGGCCGTGCTGGGCTTGGGGCATTGTATCACCCCCCAGCTCTGAGCTCCTCCAGGGCTTCGGCAGCAGGGCTGGGGGGTGCTACCCCTGTCCCGTGCCCCCACCCCAGGCAGCCAAGCAGGGGCTTGGGACAGGCAGCAGGGCCCCGCACACCCCACATTATGGCAGGGGTTTCAGGGGCCAACGTCCCCAGGGCCGAGTGCAGCTTCACCCTGCTCCTGCCCATGCACGGGGTGGAGTTGAGGGTGCACAGAGAGACTGGGCTGCTCCTCGCACGGGCGGCTGCTGCATTGCACTCAGAGCCAGGCCAAGGGTCCCTGGTGGGTGAATTCAAGTCCTGGCTCATGGAGGGGCCCTTCCCATGCTGGGGGCTCTAGCACGGATGGGGCCCTGCCATGTCTGGCTAGGAGGAGACTTGGGAGCTGGGTGCAAGGGCTGGTGGGGCAGGGGTAAGAGCAGCGGGCAACGCCGGAGCCAGGGCGGGCATCCCCGAGCCCTTGCAATGCAGCCGGGGCAGAGCGAGAGGCGCAGCTCAGCCCCCCGCCCTGGGCAGGCAGCGAGCACGCGGAGCCGGCGGGGAGCAGGAGCCGTTAGTTTATTGAAGGAAGACTATTTCTAGAGTAAAGGCTACATCGTCATGTCGCTGGCTCCTGCCCGGATCGTGTTAAAAAGCCAGTGATGCACGGGAGCTGGTTCCTGGTCTCATGCTGGCGTCCGAGGAGTCCGTGGGACCGGGGTGGGCGAGGCAGGGGACGACGGGGGAGGTTTGAAGCACCATACGATAGTCGGGACGTCAGTGTTGGAGCAGGGAGGGTCGAGGGGGCTCGCGGCCATCAGTCGGGGCAATGTACACATGTAAACAGAGCCGCGGGGCTGGGCCCGGGGGTGGGGCAGTGCATCCTCTGAGTCCCTGCCTGGCCCCTGGACTTGGCCTCTCGGAGGGGCTGGGGGTGGCTCACGGGACCAGCCTGGCACGGGGCAGAGGCGATCCCAGCCCCTTTCCCCCCCAGGACACAGACTGGGCTGGGTTCAGCTGGGTTGGGGAGTGAACCCCTTTCTTTGCCCTCGGCGGCTGGCTCCCTCCCTGGCCCCATGCGGATGGAGGGGCAGCCCAGGTGAGGCAGGTCCATGCCGGGTCTTGAAGCCTGGCCATTGCTTTACCATGGGCCAAATCCCCCAGGGGGTGCAAGGGGGGTAGGGCTGGCAACCCCCAGGGTGACCCTCCAGCACTGCTCCCACTGCCCCCAGTGGGGATCTTCCTGCCCTGGGGGGTTCGGGCTCTGTAGCAGGTGCCTGGGGCAGGTCTGTAGCCCCGCTCTGGGCCTGGGACATGGGGCAAAGCAAGCAGGCGCCTCCCTCCAGGGAGCTACAGCTCGAGCCCCTACACCCAGGGCGGCTCGGGCAACCCAGAGACCGAGGGCATTCGCCACAGCAGGGCTGGGCCATGGGCAGAGCAGAGGGGCAGGGTGTCGGGGCCAGTTCGAGACCCGACCGGGCTGGAGGGCAGGGCATGCCTTTGGCCTGGCCTTCGCCCCCGTCCCGTGGGACTGGCTCAGGGTGCCCCGTGCGTGCTTGCCCCCATTGTGCTAGGATGGGGCTCTGGCAGAACCCACTGCGTTGTGCTTTGGCTGGCAGCTCCCGGGCTGCACGGGGTTAAGGAGCGGGAAGGGGGGGTGCAGGGGTGCGAGGGGCAGGCTCTGCTCAGCAGAGGGGCTCAGGCTGGGGGTGCTGCCAGCCTGGGGCCTCACTGCTGTGGGTGGGGCTGGGCTAGACTGGGTCCCACAGGGATGCGTCCCTGGCTGGGGACAGGCCTGCGGACTGGGGGATGCAGGGCTGCGTGCCGGGGGCACAGAGGGGACGTATTCCCTCCCATGCAGGTGCCCAGGGCTGCCCCCAGGCCAGCATTCACCCTGCCAGCAGACTCGCCCCTCTCAGGACCTAGCCTGGGTCTGAAAGCACACGCGTGATGCCTGCACAGAAGGGACTGGGCGTGCAAACCGGTCAGCGATCAGACCAGGAATGTGCCACGCACGTGCTAGTGCCAGCACGGGGCAGTCGTACGTGCAGGGTGTACCAGCAGCCCCCTGGCATGCAGGTGTGCACACCCATCTTCCCCATCGCCCTCCAAGCCGCCTGCCAGCCCACGGATGCACCCTCTGCACCCAGGCCGTGCCAGGCCCTGCTTAGGGGGAGTGCGTACCAATGCCCCCCTGCAAAGCCCCAACTGCCCACCCCCTCCCCGAGCCCTGCACCCATCCCACCAGCCCCTGCCTGGCTGCAGCTCCCCCCTGGAAGCCGCAAAGCCTTCCCCAGCAGGAAGAAACAGCTGGCTGGACACAGCGTCCAGCACCCTCTTCCCCGGGGCAGAGCACCCTTCCTGCTGCCGCCTCAGGGCCTACTCCAGCCTCCACTGCCCTCTTCCCCCCTCCAGCATGCCCGCAGCCCCCCACCATCTGCCACCTTGCCCGCTCTGCTCCCCTGCTCTCCCCTTTGCCTCCCAACCCTCGCCCAATGTGCGGCAGGTGCCCCCTGCCCTTCGTGCCCCAGCACCCCGGGAGCCCACACAGAGCTTGGCATCAGCGCCGGCACGGACGAGAGTCTCTGGTCTCTTGTGCGTACGACCTGAGTGTGGCCCCAGCCCTGGCAGGGCCATGGGGACCTGGGCATTGTGCTGCGGGCAGGGTCCCGCCCCAGGCGGACAGAGCTCGCTGCCAGTCCCCGGAGAGACAAGAAAGCAGGGGTAGAACAGAGCGGTGCTCGGGGACGGCACAGCAAAGGGGCAGCCGGGACACGGGTGAGAGAGCAGCGTTTGCCCCCTCCTTCACGGGGTTTGGTTTGCAATGGCAGGCAGGGGCCCTGCTGCGCCCAGGGGAGAGTCCGAGAAGCTGGCAGCATCCTCCGCGTGCTTCATGCCAGGACACGGGACTCGCATGTGTGCCGGGGAGCATCCATGCTGGAGCAAGGCAGCATCCGCACACACAACAGGTCTCAGGACTTCCCTGGCGGAGGCGTCTCCCGTGGCCCTCAGCTCGCTGCTAGGAGCAAGCTGGACGCAGCCTGGTCCCTGCCCCGCTATTGCCAGGAACGCGCCTCCGGGCCGGGCACCGCGGGGCTGGAGAGGAGAAGGCGAGGGCCAGATCCCGTGTGCACAGCGGCTTCCCCGGTGCAGTCACAGTGATACGATGCAGAGAGGCGGGCAGGGCGGGGGGGACAGGGCAGCGCTGCCCAGAGCTTCGGGGCCGACGTTCGGAGGGAGACGGGGAGGAGGGAGGTGTGGAGGAGAGGAGGCCACGGGCGCAGCGGGTCCGTCACATGAGGCTGCACTTCCCCTTGATTTTGTCTGTCCTCTTCTGCTTGTTGGAGCGCTTGCCGTCGATGCTGAGGCTCATGTTCCTCTTCTTCTCCAGGTTGAGCAGCTCCTGGAAGAGCTCCTTGACGTTGTAGTTCATCTTGGCCGAGGTCTCCATGAAGGCGCACTTCCACTCCTTGGCGACCGCCTCGCCCTCCTTGGTCTCCACCTCCCGCTGCGTCTCGTCACACTTGTTGCCCACCAGCATGATGGGGATGCTCTCCACGCTGCCCTTGATCTGCAGGATCTGCTGGTAGATGGGCTTCAGCTCCTCCAGGGACTGCTTGCTGGTGACGGAGAAGACCAGGATGAAGGCATGCCCCTTGGAGATGGACAAGCGCTGCATGGCTGGGAACTGGTGGCTGCCGGTGGTGTCGGTGATCTGCAGGGTGCACACGCTCTTGTCGCAGCTGATGACCTGCCGGTAGGTGTCCTCAATGGTGGGGATGTAGGTGTCGCGGAAGGTGCCCTTCACGAAGCGCAGCACCAAGGAGCTCTTGCCCACGCCCCCCGCCCCGAACACCACCACGCGGTAGTCGTTGCTCTGCTCTGGCATCGTGGATCTGGGATGCGGACGCCCCTGGGAGGGGAGAGAGAGGGACATGCTCCTGTCACGTGTGGGGGAAGCATGAAGAAACATGCAGAGTGGCATGGGGCTTCCTCCTGCCAGCCCAACCTGCCCTTGGGCAGGGCACGTCGGAGCAGCCCATGGCCCGGCCGCCCTGTCCGGCCCCTTGTTCAGCCTCCCCCGGCTCCATGGGGTCTCCTCGCCGTAGCAGCCCCATGGCTGCAGGGCATCCCAGTGCACCCTACGCAGGAGGGACCCCCCTGCACACCCAGCCCTGCCCAGCCTGGTGGGTAGGTGCCCTGCTAGGCCCATTGCAGGGCTCTTTATTCCCACAGTGCAAAGAAACCAGGGGGCTTGTAACCATCCATGCTCCCTGCCCAGCATGGCCACGACTCTGGAGTAACCTCCAGGGAGCCGGGGCCAAGGGGAGGTTGCAGCTATTTCCCCAGGGCTGGGCTGGGCTGGGCTAGAGGCTGCTTCCTGGCCTGAAGGAGCCCCGGGGAGAGGCTGCAGCAGGGCTGGGGCTCGTCTTAACGCCCTCTCTCCACTCCCCCAGTGGCGTCAGCTCTTGGGCAGGCAGACTGGCCCCCTCCCTGAGCACCCCGGCCTCCAGCCAGCCCCTTAGCCCCTGGGCTCAGCTCCACCTGCTGAGCTGCGGTGCGTGCCAGGAGGCTGGTGTGAGCAGGAGGAGGCACATCCCACCCTGCTGCCCAGCCAGCGGAGGGGGCTCCAGGGGAGCCATGAGTCAGTGGGGGTCCAGGTGCACCCTCACCCCAGCGCCAGCCTCTCCTCTAATAGCCTGGATTTCCCAGCCCCCTTCCCCAAGCCCAGCATGCGGCCACCTCTGGGGGGGACACACCGCACAGGGATACCCCCCTCCCCAGATGCTGCCTGCCCTCTCCCTTCTCCCCCGGTCCTTTGGCAGCTCCGGCAGCTCAGGAGCCAGCACGGGTCGAGGCTGCGCTGACGCTGGCTCAGCCTGTGGTGCTGCAGAGCTGTCAGGACATGAATCACCATTTCACAACCCCCAGCGCGGACACGAGGCACTAGCACAGAGGTCCCAGCTCTCCCCAGCCCACCCACCGGCCTGGCCCCAGGCAGGGGGAGGCTGGTGGGGGGGTGCCGCTGCACAGATACCTGCCCCAGCCAGGCAGGAGGAGCTGGGGATCGAACCCAGGTCCCAGCTCTGACCACTGGGGAACAGGGTGGGACAAACCCAGCACCTCTTGCCCTTGACGAGTCCTTGCCAGTGCTACAGCCGCACCTGGGGCAGGTGAGCGGGGAGGGGAGGGGAGGCTCTGCTCCGGGGCCAGGAAACATCCCCCGTAATAGTGTCTATTTTTACCCGAGGCTGCCATATGGCCGGGCGGTCTGCGCAGGGGCCAGCTGGCGGGAGGAGCTGTTTCGGGAGGGGGGGAGCTCGCTGCCTGGCTCCAGTCCCCCGCACCCGGCATTGCTGATCAGGGGAAGGGGGTGCTCACCCCACGGCAGCGAGCTGTGGGCACCTGGCTGGGGAGAGGAGCTGGGGCTGGCTGGACCAGCCCAGGCCTGGGGAACAGGCTGCGGCCCCCGGGGCTGGGAAGTCAGCATCGCCCCAGCTGGGCGGACCTCAGTGGCTTCCTGCCCTGCCGAGCCCGGGGACATGGGGGGGCTCGGCCCCAGGTAGATGTACTGCGGGGCTCCATGGGTCCTGCATCCCCGTGGCTTTCAGCTCCTGCCTGCTCTCGCTCCAGGGGGTGGGGGCAGCTGGGAGCCCCTGCGCAGCCTCCACACAGCTCAGCCCTTTCCCTGGAAGACCTCGATGCCCAGCACAGACGAGGCGCGCAGGGACCCTCCCACTCGCCCGGCCTTGGCACCGGCTCCCTGCAGGTTACTCCAGAGCCGTGGCCGCGCTCGGCCCTGGGCAGGGAGCATGGATGCTTACAGGCCTGCTGGCTTCTTTGCACCATGCAGTGGGGCTCTCTGGCCTGGCAGGGCATCTACCCACCCCGTGCTGGGGTCAGCGCCTGTGCAAATGCCCCCAGCACAGATCAGGGCCTGGGCACGGGGCCTGCAGAAGCTCAGAGGCAGCTCCTGCCCCGCGAAGCCTGCGAAAAACCCGACCAAGGGAAGCAGACTCTGGAGGGGCAGGGTGCTCCCCGGGGTGTGCAGAGGATGTCCTGCCTTCCCGAGCCAGGCCCTGTCATGCTCCCAGCACTGCCCCCCAAGTCTTAGCTGGACTGCCAAGTGCGGAGCTGCCGGTGCCCTGCGGGCATGCTCGTCTGCCTCGCGCCCGCGGCGAGCGACACATTGGAGCTGCTGCTTCCCACCCCGGGGACCCCGGGACAAACAACACGGCGCAGCAGGAGCTGCTGTTAATCACCCCCCTGGGGAATCGCTGCGCGCCAGCACCGGGACCCACGTCCCACAGGGCCCCCCCAGCGCGGATCAGAAACTCCCCACCACTGCCCAGCATGCACTGAAGGCAAGCTCCTGGGAACCAGAACCTGGCATGTGCGTGCACGCGTGTGCAAGCATGGGCCTGCAGGTGCGAGCATGTGCACGCTGCTGTGCATGCGATGCTTCACTCCAGCGCAGAGCCAGGGCGAAGCCGTGGACATGCAAAGCGGGGCAGGCCGAGGGGCGGGGAAGGGGTTTGCCGCTGAGCCACATGCTGTAGGCTGGCCGTGTGGGCACGGCAAGGCCAAGGGAGACAGGCCACGGCGTGGCAGCCGGTGCAAGCCATCCTCACTGCCCTGCTGCGCCAAGGCAGACACTAACCCCAGAGCCACGTGGTGCCAATGCCGCCGGGGAGGGGGAAGGACGGTGCCACCATCATGGGGCCCATCTGAGACCAGGGTCTGTACCGGGCTGTGCTGCAGGCTGCCTGCCTGACTTGTGCCCCCAGTCTGCGCCACCCTCCAGAGCAGCAGAGGAGCCCTCTCGCCACGTGCTGCAGATGCTGGGGTTGGGGGGCACCCCGGCAGCCTGTGCAGAGCCCCAAGCTCCTGCTGCTACGTTGGTCCCAGTGCCTAGGCTGGCCCCGGGGACCTCGCTCCACCCCAGCTGCAGCTGCCCCACAAACAGACCTTGGTTCTTCTCAGACCTACTGGCACTGGCAGCGCCTTGGGGGCAGCACGGGCACAGCAGGGACTGGGCAGCTGGCCTGGGTGAGGGCCACGGGCCTCCTGCTTGCCAGGGATGGGGGGCACCGGGCCTGGCAGAGCGATGGAGCCGGCCAAAGCCACAGCAGGTGCTGAATGACAGGTGCCGCCAGCGAGCCGGACCGCAGGACGCCAGCCCCGCTCCCGGCTCTGAGCCCTCTGCACTGCAACCTCTGCCCAGCGCTCGGGGGGCGAACCCTGCTCCCTGCAACACACCCCAGCCCTCCAGCTCGCAGTGCTGTTAAGGCCGGCGGTACACGCCGAGCTGCACGGGGCATGGGCCAGGCCCGGCGGTTCAACATCGACTGGCTCCCAGGGCTGCCCAGCGGGAGACAACCCCAGCCCACCGGCTGCTGGGGACAGAATCGGGCCCCGCTGCTTTGCAGGCGGTCACAAGGGCCGGATGCTGTGAGGCGCGGGGGTCAGGGGAGTTCGGTCCCCCCACGTGGCGCCTGGCCAGGGAATCAGGGCTCCGGCATCCAGCCCCAGCGCAGGGAGCCCGAGCAGGCAGAGACGGGGCAGGCTGCGTACCCTGAGCTCTCGGGGAGCCCAGAAGGGGCTGAGACTGGGGCACAGCCCCTGGCACCCACTCTGCCCCGGCTCTGGGCAGGCCTCGGGACCTGGCGGGGCTGGCAGCCGGAGCGGGGCCGTGGCAGCCACGTTGCTTTCCCACCCGGGTCTGATCTCCCACCCCGGGCAGGGGGGTGCAGGCCGGCCTGGGTGGGGCGCGGGGCTCCCGTGACACTCCGCCAGCCCTCGCGTGCGCCCGGCCGCACAGCCGTGTGCGCGTGACCTCTACCCGCGCGCTGCGGGGGGAGGTCTCAACAGGCACCTCTGCAACCCGCTGGCCATGCAGACACGCAGGCACACGTGCCCACACGCATGCACACGCACTCGCCTGTGCCCCTTTCCACCCCCCAGCTCCTCACCGGCTTCTGTGCAGGCGCCCGGCGAAATGACACCTGGATGGCAACCCCCCCTCGCCCACCCCAGCCCCTTCACCTCCTGGCAGGCTGCCGGCTCATCAGAGGCAGGACCCTCTCGTTAGGCAATTATAGCGGGGGAGGGGAAATGGCAGCCAGGTGCCCGCCCCCCATCACCACTGCGGGCACCCGGGCTGTTTTTACACACTGCCCATGGGGGGGGATGCACCCACCGCCCCCAGCCCTGCAGGTGCCCCCACAACAGGGACCAGCCTGTGCTACACAGCCCGAGGCACTGCGGAGCGAAGGAGGGAGGGAGGGGTGGGGGCCTGGGGGTGATGGTGGATGGATGGATGCGGGGT